ATCTTTTAAAAGTTGCCAAGAGAAATACACTTATATACATATATATAAAAAAAAATGTATTTATGATATATTCAAAAGTAATATGCTTTTTTAAAGTACTGGCATTAAAGCCAGTATGTTTTTCTCTACCTTGGCATTTCAATATATATGAATTAAAGGAATTAACTACCAGTAGTTTCACTGGGAACCAGTAATGAAGACTACAAGCAGCCTTTTCTACTATATGCATTTTTAATATTAGCCTGCAAAAACAGATTTAAAAAAAAATCAAGAACTTTATTTGTATGCAAGAAAAAAAATCTTTTCTTTACATCTTCAGTGGAAATGTAAGGACGTGATGAAATAAAAACCTTATCAAAAAAAGGTTCCTAGCACAAATCTTGGGTGGAGGAAGATTCTGGGAACTGGGTGCACATCCTGTATTCATGTCCTTAGGGCTGGGTCTTCTCTTCATCTTGTAGGCGTAAGTACTGATAGGAAATTAGATGACTGTTAAGACCCATGTGATACAACCAGTCCGTGGTCTTTTTCTGTGCAAGACTTTAGACCTTAAGTCTATAGTAAGGTCATTGTGCATCTTCAGATCATCAACATTTGCCCACTGGAGTCAGCAGTTGCTCTTTCTGCTTCTCAGTTTTTAGGGCTGGGGTTCCTGTTAGACCCTATCTAGGCCATAGAAATGTCGGTCGACACAACATATGTATTTTGCTCCCCCAAATATGAAATGCTTCTAGATTCCCTGATCTAGAGGTAGCTTGGGAGTGTCAATTGTAAATTGTGAAGTTGCATTATTCTCAGTGGAACATGCTAATGTTTCTTTTTTTTACACATGCTCCAGGGACTTCAAGTGTATATGTTTTTAAGTTTTTTTTAAAAAAAAAGAAAAAGAAATGCAAGAAAGTACTCTGCTTAGACAACAAATGCACACCTAAGAGCCATATATCTAGGAAACACAGGGAGGCTTTTGTAGAATCTGCGATGTGAACTGAATTCTACAGTCAGGGAATGTCCTTACTTTTGTTATTCTATTACCCTGGCAACAGTATCAGTATTTTTTCCATGAAGGCTCATAGCAACTTAAGCCCCCAGATTCACTTTTGTACTTTGGTCCACAATTGCTGAATCTATACTCATAAGTTAAATGGTGTTAGGGACTAGGTTACTTTTAAGGTCAGTAGGACTGAAACTGTCCACCTCCATTGCTGGCAAACTTTCTACTCCCTGAAATGGGGCGGGTGTATCCAAAATGGGAGTTATCCATGGCTAATATCAATTCTTGGAGAGCATCGGAGAGTTATTTGTGCATGTATTAAAGTGCTCTTTGGAACAGGTCAAAACTATGCCAGCAACTGTTCTGACAATATGGGTAGATGGCTGAGTTCCTGTGTTAAGAGTATTGCCTGGCACTATTAAGCACACCAGGAATTGTTGTTAGCAAAGTAAAAAGATGCTGTTCCCAACTGCGTAATGGGAAGCAAGGTTAGAGAAACACAAAATACCAGCATAAGAACATTCCAGTTTATACTACTCAACTGTCATCTTAAGCCTGGTGCTTCCAGGGCAGAGGAGGGCCTGAGGCTTCCCCATGCTGGCAAGAGCTCAGGTTAGTACCTTATTCATCAAGAGGAGGATGCCATCCTCTTGACTTGTTTAAATTTTGTATCTCCTTCTATCTAACTGTTTGTGAAGGATAGCAGGTTGCTGATGTATGCAAATTAATTTTATTTCTTCAGCTCTTGCTCTTCTTTCCTCACTGCCAGTCCTTTTAGGGGAAGGCATTTCTGGCATCTCTGATTATCCCTTGAAATTTTGTGCAAGTGAGATGTTGCACAAACTGTCTGCATGTGGAACACCTATGAAACGCTTTGATGTGCTTATTTCTTTCTCGAGATGATATTTGCCTCTCTAAGATATTAATTGAACTGTCATTTCTCTGACTTCCCTCTTTCCAAGCAACATAGCTTACGTTATGCTTTGCATTAAGATTTTAGGATAAATATTATGAAAAGCACCACACAGACAACACTGATAGCCTGGCAACTGAAGATATATTGCTAGGTTTCCACAGAGATGATGCACAATGTATTAAAATGTATGACTGACTTGACAGTGTCCATCTTCAGTCAGTTTCAGAATTCTGAACCCTTTCTTGCCAAAGGAACTCTATGAATTTATTACTTGGTGCAGTGTAGTAGGATGTCTAGATGTGTGCAAAAGTCTTGCTGAGAAGCTTGATTTGTTTCCACCCGTGCAGTTGTGGTTTCTAGTACTGAAGCTGAGTTAGCTTTTCATAGATCAGTGAGTTGATCTGGGAAAGGCAATGTCTCAACTCTCCACTTCCTTCTTATGCCAGTAATGAGAATTTCTGCATTTTCCATGCCATGCTCTTGTCATCCATGAGGAATTTGGATATCCAGCTGTACCCTAAATTGCCAAATGACAGAATCGCATAAAAGTTAGAGGGGCTTCTGGGGATCATTTGTCTTGCCCCTCTGCCCTCTCTGTATTATCCCCCTCATCCCTCTGCTGAAGTAGGGTAGGCTAGAACAAGTTGTTCAGGATCATATCCAGTCACGTTCTGAGCATTTCCAAGGATAGACCCTCCATAGTCTCTTGGGGCAGTCTGTTTCCATATTCAATCACCCTCACGGCAAAGGTGTGTTTGTTTTTTACTATGTTCAGCTGGAAATTCTTCCCTTTTGCTTTGTGCCCTCATCCTGACCTGGGCACAACTAAGGATTATCTGGACCCTTCTCTTTATACCCTGAGGTCCCTTCCAACCTTAAGCATTCTATGATTCTCTATTTATTTATTTACAAGTAAATAAATGATGTTGATAGGATCCCTGCAGAGCCTTCCTTTCTCCAGGTTAAACAATTCTAGCTCTTTTAGCCTCTTCCCTGTATAAGAGATGCTCCAGTCCCTTAATCATCTTTGGGGCCTTTTGTTGGCCCTGCTCCAGTAAATCCATGTGTCTCGCACTGGGGAGCCCAGAACAGGACCCAGCCCTCCAGGTGGGTCCTCACGAGCCCTGAGCAGAGGGGAGGGTTCAGCTCTCTCAGCTAGCTGGCAATGCTCTTCCCAAGGCAGCTCAGGGTGCCACTGGCCACCTTTGCCACAGGGCACACCACCCATAGTCAACTTGCCTATCGGGAGCCGCAGACCTTCTGCAAAGCTGCTCTCCAGCAGACCCCTTCCTGCGTGAGGTTGGTCTTCTCTAAATGCAGAACTTGGTATTTCTCTTTGCATTCCTCCCGGTTTTGTATGTGAGAACTTGCTGAGGCTGCAAAATATTTCTTCATAGAGAAACAGACTACTCAAATTTATTGCAAGCTCTCTGCAGAAGTATTTAGTCTTTCTGATGGAGAAATAAATTGTTCCTTTTGGCATAACTAAAGAAGTATAAAATCTTAAATGTAAAACCTAAATCTTCTGAAATTACTCTGTTTAATATCACCACTCATCCATTTTTTTTCTTTTTTTTTTTTAATGGAGTAATTTTGTATTCTTAAAGCTTGGGTAAGAAGAGACCATTAGTTCATTTAACCTGGCACCCTGTATAGCAGGGAGTCTTATATTTCATTTGGTTCTTTCTGTATTGTGTGTGGCTGAGATCTATATTAATTCACCCTGCAATAAAGAAAAGGAGGAATGATCTGGGAATATTAAGACTCTCGAGCTTTACCTTGCACAGCCTGAGAATAATCAGTGATCTATATTTTAAAGCAGGTTGTGTGTGGCTTTTTTTTTGTATTCTGTACAGTAATACAGAAGAACTTGTGATTAATAATAATAATGTAATTCTCTTCCTCCCCCCTTCTCTTCAATACACCCACTGACCAACAGGCCATTTTCCAAAAATGAATCTCCTCTCCTTTGAGGACATAGAGTGAAAGATAAAACCGTGCTTAATAGTCTGTTTCAGCAGTTAGTCATCATCACTGTTTGGCAGCCTAGGGTTTTTCTCCAAGGTTAAGATGCCTTTAGTATTGACCTCTTTTCCCCACAGAGCTTACTGGTTGTTCTGTAAGCAAAGTAAATCTTTTTGTGTTGTTGAATTCCTTTTGAAGCGCTCTTTCTGCTTTCAGTTCACTACTTTCATGCTTTCTTTAAAATGGCAGTGAACTACTGTATCCAAAGCTGTGTACAGAAATAAAATTGCCTCTTTCCTTCAACTTGATTCCTTTGAATGAGCAAAGAGTTGAATAGATTTGCCTGGGTCTGCAGGTTAGGAAATTCAGATTTCCGATCACAACACCACAACTCTTGCATCTAGCATTTGTTTAAATGCTGCTCTTGTGACTTTAGTTAACTATACTTTGTGGGAACTGTGAAGGAACTGATGCCACTTTGAAAATCTGATTAAGGCAAGGGTAACTTTTTTAATCATATCCCTTATTAATCAGATCTTATTAATAAGAAATGATAATGTTGTGCAGTTCCATTTCAAATAAAGATAATTTTTTCCAATGCTAAAACACTTCAACCCCCCCCCTTTTTTTTTGGAGGAAAAAAAAAAAGTAATCAATTGTAGGCATATGTGAAGGAAAATGCCTTAAATAATCTTTAAAATTACTTATCTGAGACTTATAGATCTGATAGAAATATTTCCAACCAATCAGTGAAGTAATTGTATTCTACAGAAGTCCAGTGGTATGTGAGTGTTTTAGGAGCTTGGCAATAAGGAAAGAAAGCATAGCCACTACAGACCCCTCACATGGAAATGACAACTACTTACCTGAAAATCCTCCTAACAAATGCCTTATCCATGATATAGCTTCTCTTTCAGCTACCCCCCTTCATTCTCTCTATCTCCATGACCTTTTGTTCCACCTGTGATGTCTTTCAGTAGTTGCACAATAAAATGTCTAGGCTAGATTCCAAGGATGGAATAAAAAGCTGGGGGAGAGGGGTGGTGGTGGTTGTTTTTTTGTTTTTTTTGTTTGTTTGTTTCTTTATGAAAGCACTAACAATTCCATTTGGATTGTATTTCTTTGTAGCAAAACCAATGAATTATTGAACAGATTGGCCTTGGGTTTGCCAAAGAGTGATTCCTGTCACATTGCGAATCGTGGCCTAGAGCCTGCAGCATGGGTAAGTAAAACCATGGAATGTGAAATGTTCTCTGTCAATTTTCCAGGTGCTGCTGGTAGTGTAGCATTAGAGTATTCTAATTGAGCTTGATTGCCCAGACATAATTCAGTGTATACCAAGGAATCCTTGTGGATGAATGAGATTGCTTATGTTGTTCTGTGATACACTGGCAGATTATCCTCCATAGTAGGGGACAGCCTTTATTACTCACCAATCTCTTCCTCATAACTGAGAGGCAGATTTATATTCCTGGTTCAGATCAGAACCTTAAACATGTCTGTACCCATCAGTTGGTGGCAAGCTTTTGTGAAATCTCAGCTGGCGTGTGTCAGTGGATGCTGTCTGTATTGGAAATCTAGTCAGAGAACCTTATTTTTCAGTGTGTCATAAAAGTGATTCCACAGACTGCGCTGGGACTCGTCCCTATTTGAATGAGCCTAGAATCAGTGTAGTTAGAACAGATGTAAAATATTGCTTAAATTCTAATTATTCTAATTGTTTCAAAAAGCTTTTTTTTTTTTTTGTCTTTTTAATATATGGACAGTTTCTTCATTCTAAACCTATCTTTTTCCTGATGGCAAAATTTGCAATGAGGCATATTAACCCTGAGATAGAAAATCTCTCATTTGGGGGACTTCTGAGTGGAGGGAAACCTGCAGCAGACAGCTATGTGGACATAAATTATTTTGGGCAACACTCCTGGATCAGCAGAAACCTGGGCAGCCCTCTGTTGTGTGAAGCCTTGGACATCAGAGAGAGAGAGGAAAAGATTCTCGTGCCTATTTTCTTAGGAGCCAAGGAAATATGCCAGACTTTGTCCCATCTATAGAAATTATCATAATATATAAAGCTCTGTCTTGCTGTAGTATCTCTTTCTGTGTCTCGGCTATATGAAAAGAGGTGATGCTGAAAGTAGGTTCCTTTTCCCTTTGATTCCTTGAGTCGTATTGTTTCTTTGAATAAGGTAAATCTTAGTGTAGCATAGGCAGATGTACAACTTGTCACCAAATTCTGCAAAGCAGTACTGGCCCACTGAAGTTTGAGGGTCTTTTTGAAGTCCTGAGGAGACCAGCCATATGCAATGCTATGAGAAGAGAGAAAAAAATGCCTTGAAATCACTACTACTTCCCTCTGAAGCACCCTGAACAACAGGGAGGTGGTTCGTTGTTTGTCGCAGACTCTGCTCCTCGCCCTTTCTTAGGACGTTGAGATAAGTGAGTGCATGTCCCCAGAAATGACTTTGACTTCAGGATTTTAGTGCTATGTCTTCATATCTAGCAGGTGTCCTGCTTTTTCAGCTGTGCCTTTCTCATTGCCTTTTTTTCCTTAATAAATTTCATCTTTAGCTTAAACAATATCCAACCAGATAAAATAGACAGTTTTTGTAGTGTTCTGTATTTAATATCAGCTGATATTGCATGCCTATTGTGTGACAGCATTTGAATACCTTTGTGAGTCAATTTATCGCTTGCTTATATTGCAGCAATGCAGATAGCAAAATGTCTTTCCAGGCAATTTGGATGAAGCACAATTTGTTGCCATACTCACAGTCTCTGTGCTCTGTGAAAGGGCACCTAACCCTTGAGTGAAGCACATAACCAATGATTTGTGGCCCAGACAGAATTGGCATAATATCAAATCACTTAACCTGTGGGGGAAACTCATACTCTAATTTTGATGTGATATTGGACTTGCCCCCTGTTTGGAGTAACCGAAACATTCAGGACCAATTTATCCAAGAAGTGCCTGTCATGTTAAGTGCCTTATTTATATTTTGAATGTTCTAAAACAAGTTCTGATAGGCAATGTTTTTTCTCCATGACCATTTTTTCTTTGATATTGATGCTCATTTAGCACACCTTGTTCAAATACCACTGTCAAGTATTACCTAAAAGCATGTGGGGAAAAAAATGTTTCCTTTTGAGTAATTTCGTGTCATTGGTGACTTTTTTGGCCCACTTATTTCCTCAAGTTCATAATTAATTTTAATCCTGTCTTTTTGTCTTCGAACTTGATTAACATACATACCACACAATCCTCTAAGCCATTACTGAGAGTAATGAATAATATTGGACCCGGAATGAGTCTCCCTGGACACATGTAACAACTCCTCCCAGCTCAAAATTGAGCTATTAATAATTGCTTTCTCTGTTCAGCCCTTTTAGCAGATTATATGCCTGTCGTTTTAATGGTGTCATTCTGAACCACATATATCAAGTCTGAAGAACATTGTGTAGTCCTGCATCAAATCCCTTGTTAAACTCAATCTGTATGCAGCTAGACCTACACACTTTTCATATTAGGCAACATCAGTTTATTATTTAGTGTGCTGCGCATAGGCTCTGTCCCTGTTCAAAGACTTTGCAGTGCAAGGACCAAAGGACTTAATGCCAGTCTAGGTCTTCGTACGTAGCTACAATTTATGAAAGACCTGGGTTAGTTATTGCAGGGAACTTCTATGCAGTCATGTATCTTATTTGTGATGTCTAGTTCAGATTTTCATTTCTCTTAGTTGCCCCTCAAAATCAGGCAGGATATCTTGATTTTTCTTGCCCTTCCTCCACATACTGCTTTTCCATACTAACACTGGAAATACTCCTGGATTATCTTTTTATCAGACTTCCCTTCTGTTTCTGGTAATATTCTGGTAATATTTCCAGACCTTTTCTTCTTCCCAAAACATCCAATCTCACTATCACATGTGCCAATAGGATGTTTATTTAGGGAGTTTATGTGCTCCTCAATGGGACAAGCAATAGGATGTGCTCTGGGTGGTTTATTGTAATGTGCCAATGAACACTTAGCCCAAATGAATGATTTTTTTTTAATACTTCTAGCTTATATTAGTGTGAAGACTTGAATTTTCTTAGATGACCAGAATCCATCAACCATTTCTGTTGTGTTAATTACTTGTATAATGATTTGGGGATGAGGTTTGAGATTTTGGTGAGGTCTCCTCTCCCTATCCATATGTTTTATATTCTCTGTTGAACAACAGACTGGAAGCCATACTTACAAGCAAGCTCTTCGAGAGGATGAAAACAGAAGATTAAAGGAAATGAAGCAAGAACAACGGAGAAAGGTAATTGTACGTTAACAGTTTGCATATTGTATCATTTTTGCATGCTGTGAAACCAATTAAATACATTGATTACTGTAGCCTAAGCACAGAACTTCTCTTTAGGGAAATTGATTTGGTCATTGCTTTCAAATATTGTGAGAGATGAGCCACGATGTAAGATTTGGGTATAGATCGAATTATCTTCTGAGTTCATGGTTATTTGCATCTAGATGACAAGTTTCTACTTGTCTCCTTATTTGAACAATTGTACAGGGTATTTTCTGGATCGTGGTGCCCAATTTCATACTCTAAGGAAACCAATTTCCTCTCTTTCAGGCAGAAGTGATCTGAGATATTCATGATTATCTCAGACTCTGAATAATGTCTCTTTTTAGAGAACCAAGGCCTGTGCACCCTGCCTTCTGAAATGAGCATGCAGAAGCATTCAGATCTGCTATTCAGTCTGTCTGCTTCAGTGTTTACTTGCTAACCAAATAAACCAAGAATTCTGAGTAGTCTAAAAGCAGGTATGCCGTAACTACAAATGAGAAATCCACCTTCTGCATATGCAAGACATTGTCAGAAATGCATCCTAGCCAATACAGGCTCTCTAGCATGATTTTGGCTACTGTAAACACATGGAATTAATCTACACAAGGCTTTAGCCTCATGCTAAACTCACTATCTCGGCTTTGGTTCTAACTGTGCAGGTATGAGGAGGATAATGTTAAATGCAAATCTCTGAAGAAACACACAGGCAAATACTAAGCATCTAGTTAAGCCTGTGCTGTCACTTATATCCAAGTTAATGCTAAACTGCTTCCATAGAAATAGATTTTTAGATAGCTCAACAAATTCCATATAATGAGTTTCTAATAGAGCTGGACAAGTGACTTGGTCCCCTCACAGATACTTTTCACTAAGTACTGACAGTAATTGTGTTCTTTTCATAGTATTTTAGTAACTAGAATGCTAGAAGCGAGAAGAAAAGAAAGAAGAAAACAAACACACACAAGCTTAACTGAGTGATTTTAACTGTTTTGCTGTCAGATGTGTACCTACTCCCTGGAACTATACACAAGAAAAATCCTTGAGAGCTAGTCATAGGGGTCACACAGTCTGCAACTGCTGTACTGTGCATGTGTTCTGCTGTAGACAAAATAAATACAAACGCGAATTAAACCTAACTCACAGAGCACAAGCATGCTAAGAGACTTGTGTAGAGCTTAAACTCTCTGCTGGTTAACATAGGTTAAGGAGAAGGTTTCGACTCATTCTAAGGCTGTTCTTTCTTCGTGTGCCATTCCAGAGTGCTCCTTCCTTTCATATTCGCTGTTGCCTACTGCATAGATTAATGTACTACTTACAAACCTACTGTAAATAATACATATTTTAAAGACCCAATGATTGTCCCTCAGATTTATGTTGGCTTATTTCTATTTCAAACTAGCATGTATTAAAGTAATTGTAAATCCTGTCTTGTGTGCACCTTCTAGTACAACGTTGCTATAAAACGTATAGGTATTGTCAGCTGATTTTTTTTAGAACAAGTTTTAGTATGTATTGCTTGATTTAAAAATTTTCACTGTGCTTTAAACACTGCATCATATACACGCAATATATTTCAGAACATTACTCCAGGAGAGGACTCGGCATATTGGAAAGTCGGATACTGGGTTTTAATTTTCAGGTTGAATAGTTATTTAAAACAGTGAAAATTAAGGTTGGCTTTTTATTTCTTAATCCTGTTTCTTCTTTTAGGGCTAGACAAATATTGACACACAACACATTTGCAGTTATTGATCTCTTTTTGCATTCATTTATTGCACAGTTTTTATTTAATGTTCCAGATAAATTGATTTTTTTTAACTTCCATAGTTTCATTCAGTTATTGAAGCTTTTATCTAACTGCATAATTTAACTTTACTTTCTATCCCTACCGCTACTCAGTTGCTATGGAAAATGTGAAGGATGGGTCCTTTCTTATTCCTTTCCCCTCCCCCCACAAGCCAAATTCTCTCTGCAGAAAAATCTGCATCTTCAGTTCTTGGGTGCGCTGCAGGGAGTAAGAGACAAACAAGTAAGCACACATGCACAGCACAGTCATAAGCTGTGTTTCCTTAGCAGTCCAGCCTAAAAATGCAGAGGCAAACTCTCTTCTCAAGAGAAGTCCCTTTGAAGTTATTTATGTACTTTAATATTACATAATGTAAGGTTTGTAGTCTCCAATCCTAACATTTTTAGCTTGACAAAAGAAAAGAAATTCACGTGTACAGCAAGGTCACATGGAGTATAAGTGTGATTATTTTGTTACGGGTTCTACACTGGAATAGTACTTTTGGAAGAGGCTTCCTGTCAAACAGAAATTTGGGAAAGTGGCCAAAAGAGGAAAATTCCTAGTAGGTGTGCTCCCTGAAGTGCTCCACAGAGGCAAAGGGCACATCTCCTTTGCACCTACCAAGGTCATGTTGGGTTGTGCTGGTTCATGTGAAGGGACTTAGGTAATCTTCACCCCCCTACCTCTGGGTTGGAGCAGGAAGAAGCTGAAGATCTCAAGTGAAGGCTTCACATGTTTTTCTGTCATAGTGCACAGCAACCTGGACCTCACGGTGCTGAGGACATGGAGGAACAGTGTCTGCAAGACAGGGACTTGGCTAGTAGAGGGACAAACCTTGCATGTGGACTGACATTGCTTTAAATGTAGCAATGCAGCTCTTTGAGTTCTTTTACTTCCCACTTTTTAGACACAAATATATCTCATCTAGTGCAACCGCGAACAGAAAACCGAGCTCAACTTTTAATAGAGGGCCGTCATGTAAGTAAAATTCTGTTGAGGGAAGTTTTGTAAATACCACATTTTTCTGGTTGATTTTAATACCATGTGAAATTAATTGGGTTCTTAACATAGACAAGTTAATTAGCAAAGTTTATTTTCTCATTTTTATCATTCCCAGGCTGAATTATTGGAAATTAAACAAAAGCAGGAGGAAGAAGTTCGAACAAGAGCACACCAAAATGAACAGAGGAGGTAGGATGCAGAAGAGTATGTCATACCCCTATTTTGTGGTTTTAATCTTGCAGATCTATCACTAACTAGTTTTTTTCCTTTAAAACACAGCTATATGCTCTTTCTCTGCTTGATTTTCAGCAAGTAAAAAGAAACCCCTCTGTCTTGACCGTAAAAGCCCCATTATTGGCAAGGGGGCTTGTTACATCCTCAAGGAATTTAAGAACAGAACTAATGATGGGGCCAATAGCTCTCCATACTGTTTTCTTTTCTATTTTCCTTTTATTTCTTTTTCAGCAAGTGTATTGAATAATTAGCCATAGAAATTGCTGAAATATTTTAGACTGAGTCCATCTCTGTTTCCCTAGATAGAAATAAGCTTTAGAAATCTAAGATCTTTCATTTTGCATCCTTTTTATGAGAAATGATGTAAAACATGGCTGTCACTTCTAAGCCCATATGTCAGTCCTAGGCATAAACGAGAGTAAAGAAGATGCAACCTTCAGCCAGTTTGAAAATATCTAAAACAGAAAGAGAGGAAAGTGTATTTATATGTATTCCAAATTGATAAAGCCGTACAACAAAATGCTAGAGGTGCTTTCTGAATTGGAGGGCAGGGAATATTGACAGCCGCACAACTTCTTTCTCTATTAGTAATAAACTTAAGTTTAGGAAATCAGTATTTTAGAAACTCTCCTTGTGTGCTGCAGGTGGAAACACTGTTTAAGGTGAATTGTCTAAATAGCTAAACTCACTGTGAATGTGGGTGCTATGCACGTAGACTTTCTACCGAGGGTTTGGGTGCATTTCTCACAGCAGCCACAGGATACTTTTTAATCATAAAAGATTGATCACAGAGTAGGGATAAACCTTAGGAAATGAAAATGAAATCCACCCTGTCTTATGCCATTTTTTAGTTATTCAACACAAGCTTGAAAGACAGAAAAGTGTATGCTTAACTGAGAATAGGTAAGCCACTAGCAGAAGGTTCAGTCTCCGAAGCTTGTGAACTCCTCAGCTACTATTTCATTGTTTTTAAGGGTAAATAATGCTTTTCTGGACCGACTACAGAACAAAACGCAAGCTAGTAGCATCTGGCAACCTGAATATCCTAGGAGTCAGGACTACTACAGTAACAACTGATGGGTAAGTTTCTGGGTCTAGAACCTGAAGGTTTTCCCTGGATGCTGCTATGCAGATGTGTGTGTTTAGTCTGTTGTCTAAACTTACATTCCTAGTTGGTTGCCTGCAATAGCTCTTAAAAAGAAATCCTGCCTTAAATGTAAACTCTTTGTATGGGGGAGGGAATTAACAGCTACCCTTACAGAAGAAGCATATTGCTTTCCATGCATACTGTCTGAGTTCCTTTTTTAAGTTTGTAACAAGAATCATCAAATCCTAAGGATTTTTTTTTGATTTTTTTAATGAAAGATGCCTGGAAATGCTATGATATTCTAATATGATACTGAAATTGGATGGGAGGAAAAAAAAAGAAAAATAGAGCTGTTCCTTTTTTTTTTTTTTTTCTCCATATAAAGTTGTAGTAAGGAAAACCTAACTGCATCCATTTAAAATATTCAATACTTGAATATTTTACTTGAAAGGTTTCTTTGAAGAAAAGGTATCTTAACTCTAGCCTGTTAAATATTCAGTCCTAGATACTGGATTTTCTCCACTGTTTTAATGAGGCATAAATGTGATTTTTGTTACTTAGAATTGCACTCTTCAGTGATTCAAAAACATTTTGTAGTATTTCCACTGTGGAAATTTCCATTAGGGTGAAACTGCATTGCTGAGAGGACAGTAGTGCCAAAATGGAAGCCTTAGAAAGACTGAAAAGCAAAGGTATGCGAGTCTAAGAATGCAGTGAATGAGTCAATGCAGAGTGTTGGAAACCAAAATGAATTTTCAATTGGACTGGTTTAATTATTCTGGCCACTTAAAGCCCTGTCCTGAACCTGTATAAGTCTGTATAATTACATGCAAAAGTAGCCCCCTCTAATGCAAGTGTTGGTAGACCTGCACAGGAGTGTAGATTTGTATCTTGGAGATGAATGACAGGAGAACTGGAGTTTAAGCTTCTACTAAGTCCTGAACCTAAAAGGCATGTCAGAAAAGCAAGTATTTCTTATGGCTGGTGTTTTCCAGGTGCTTTAACTGGATAAAGATTCTTTTAATCACGACAAACTTCAGGCTAGCTCTCTTGACCTGCCAGATAATGTCCTATAGGGTTGGATGGTAGCCACTGGGTGAACTAGTTGATTAGGGCTTTTACCAGAAAGTCTTGCAATATTGCAAGCCAGGCAATCCAGGAGTTACTGGAAGTCAAGCTAGTGATATCCATGCTAGTAAAGGAACGAGTTGTGTTCTATGGCAGATCTGAAAAGGTGTCTGTAGACAGCAGTAACATAGACTTTAGGTAGGTTAGAGCCAACTTTTGCCTAGTTAGGGGCAAAAGGTAAAAATCTGCTGAATGGGAACTGGTAAACAAGACCAGCAAGGACAACATTATTCTTTTTATTTCATTTATGTCCTTTATCCCAATCTGTAAACCATTTCCAGAGAAACCAAAAAGGAAGTCTATGACACAGCATGATCTCCAATATCTCAAACTATCATTCATCCACTGCCATGACTGGAAACTTGGCTGTCATCTGTGGATCCATGGGAGTGGAGCTTTCCTTTGGTCAGATGCCATATGTTGTCTTCCACGAGGCAGGTGTTTGTACCACCAAATGCGTGTACTGAACCCAGACACTGCTTCAGTGAACAGACAGCTCTATGATGTGCACAACCAATATATCATTTTTTAATAAAGTGAGGATGCATTGATACAATTGCAACAAAACCCTCCGAGTAGGAGTAGTGATAAATTTCCCGCTCTGGGTGTTTACTTAATAGTTCCCAAGGAACTTGCCTGCTGTTGGATAATGCTAGATTATCTGTTTTTATCCTGTAAAATAGGGCTAAACAAAACAAAGACAGACTAAAGTATAAAAGAATGTCACCATCGAAAGGAATTAAAAATGAGTATTTGTAACAAGAGCAAGGGAGAAAAGTCTCTTGCAAAAGATAGGTTTGAGGCTGCAACCTCAGTGTCTTTGATTATATCCAGGTTCTTCCTTGGGTTTCTAGACAGGAAGACTTGACCTCCAGGTGGGGCGTAGAAGTCATGCAGTCTGCAGCACGGTCAGTAACATTGCAGAGGGCTTAACGGGAAGCAGGTCAGGCTATGCACCAAGATTAAAAGGAATGAAACGAGTTCTCAAAGTTAACCTGCAATTTTTTGAGCCTGCATCTTCTGTGCAGCAGCCCTGAAAAGGAAGTATCTGTTGCTGCTTGGTTTTTGTTTCCTGATTCAACTCTTCAGTCACAATGACTTCAGATTTGTAGAAGCTGAATATGGTGCTCTGTTATCCATACACCTCCTGTATGTTTTACAGTTTGCCTTGCTAAAGAGATGAATCCTGTAAGGATTTTCAGCCTTTGGGCCGATCTTTGCTGGAGTTGAAGGAGTGTATAAGCCTTAAAGATAATTAGGCTTTGTGAAAAGCAGTGACTGGGCAGAGGTGGAATGCAGTGCTGGGGGAGGGAGGTGAATTTATTGTGTAATTTGGGGAACAAGGAGAAGAGCAGTTGTGCTGCCCATCATTTTGTCCCCCGATTGATAGGAAAGGAGGTCTTGCAAGCTCTGCCCTCCAGAAATCATGCGTTTTATTAGGAATATCTATATGCTGTTATTTCAAGAAGTATCTTAATGGAAGTAATCTTGCCTGCATTTTTGGTTATAAATGCCAGGGTGCTCTCTGGGTGGTTGTCATTTGCTTTTTTTAATGGGAAAACAATTTAATAAATTTCCACTTCTCTCTCAGAGCTACTGCACCCTGGAGACGTGAGTCTGATTATAGGCTGCATAGAAAATTTTGATGTCCCCTGTGCTGCCATTGTCTTTAACATAAATGTAAACCATTTAGGAGTTTGTTTTTTAAAAAAAAAATAAAAAATAAATAAAATAAAGGAAAAAGAGGAGGAGAAGTCAAAAAAAAAAAAAAAAGCTTTCATTTCAATATCAAAGTTTGACCAATTGAGTTTAATACTTAAGTGCAGCCTATAACTGAGACAATTTCTGTTCACTGTAGTGACACAAATTATTAGTTCTATTTAAATATAAAAATAGTTCTATTTTTATGAAAGAATAATTTTGTTAGCAGTTGAGCACTCTTATATTTGCTCCCTCATGAGATTTGCCATATTGTAGTCCTGAGGGATTTGCAAAAGAGTGCAAATGCATAGCAAGCTTCTAGCAGAGCCCCTGGTTGTTTCTGGGGGGATTTAGGGTTTTTTGTGTGTGTTTGTGTGCTTTTGTTGTTTTATTTATACACACACACACACACACACACATATATGCTGGAATTCAAGTATTGTCAAGGACCCTTTTGTTTATTCTATTAATGGGGAAAGGTCATACGGCAAATAGGTAGAATTTATGCGCCGACTCCTCTTTAATGAAATACTAGTTTCCTTGTTGAAACTGAGCTATAATCAAGCTGCAATCGAGAAGGCAAGATGACAGATGACTCCTTCCCGTCTCACGTCTCCATTACAGCGTGTCAGGCATAAGAATGAGGAGTGCTCTTTCACATGCTGACGCTGCTCTTTCAGGTGATGCATAATTCTAGATATTTAGAGGGGGAAACAACTTGCGGCCTCAATACACAGGCGCAGAGCGACGGGAAGCTACACTCGTCTTTCCCACGTATAGGACAACAACTCAGTGGATACTAGATAAAACCATTTTTAAATAAATATGGTTAGAGGATTAGCACGTGGTTTAGCTGTTGTAGTATGCTGCATTGGAGTGCGCCTCTGGAGTCTGTCAACGCTGGATTTATATTATTTGCTTGCAGTTTGATAGAGAACATGTCATGAATTTTCCTAGTGTACAACAAAGCAAAAAATCATGCCTCAAAATTATGAAGTGAGAAGGCCAACATGTATATCACAGTCTTCCATATATAATTAGACTTTAATGGAGATGTTAGTAAGCTTTTGCAAGTGTAGAGTTGCACTGAAAATGCTAGTTCCGCAGCACAAACGAAAACCTTTTCATTTAACATGGGAGCCCTGAAAGTGGAGTATTTATATAAGAAGCCTCTCGATTGCAGTCCACCATGGTTATTCTTAACAAAGAATGTGTCTTGCTAATCTAGCTTTAACCTGATTAGTCTAGGTACAATCTGAATCGAAAGATTTCTTTTTTTATTCTTAAACCTTTTTTTTCCTTTTTTTTTTTTTCTTACTTTTTATTGAGAGTAAAGTGCTGGTCTTTCCTGCCAGAATGATGAAGGAAAATTTAAAAATAAATAGATAAATAAACCCCGCTCCACAGAAGTACTAGCATTGATATAGGGACCAAAATTGAGTGGTCCTGGCATGCTGTAGCTGACTTTAATGACTTACCTTTGAAACGCCAGTGAAACGACATATGCAGATGTGTTCTGCCTGACTTGACTTTGAGCTCGATCATTATTTCCTTTGAAAATCTCATCCTAAAAGAGAATAGTGGGAGCCTGGGGAGGAAGGGAGGAAACCTTTTGCTCCTTCAGTTTGTGTTAGATCAAGAAAGGATTGAGGCATCTGAAGGTAATTGCAGCGCTTTTGGATTGCCTTTTTTCAGCAAAACCAAGATACACTTTTTTTTCATGTATGCTCCTATTCATATTCAGTTCAAATGGGAGAAATATTCATTACTGGATCAGGAATTTTGCAGAAGGATTTCGCTATTTTTTCAGGTGGACTTTCAAAAGGCAGCAAAGGCACCAAATAATTGAGACAAAATCCTCATAAGTGGATAGTGATAATTCCTTGTATGAATACATCATTATAAATCTATTTGTGCTGTGCTAAGGCAGTTGTTAGTTTAAACCCCAGATTGAAAAAAGAAAAAACATCTGGGACAAAGGATCAGTGTTGCCCAAATGTAAGAATAATAAATTTTAGTTGCATTTTAATATCTAAAATAGTGTTAATTTAACTTCAGAGTTGATATTTCATTATGACAGGGTACGTGGTTTTATCCTTGTGTATTATGAAAAAATATTTCCAACTATGTCATTATATGGCCTTATGAACATATACTAATT